GCCGCTTGGATTGCATCATGCTGGGGCTTTAATATTTAAGTTCAGGGTGTCAGTAGCTTCGGAGGATTTTCAGAAATAGAAGTTAATTTTTGTGGGGTCCGATGGACCTCAGGGGGGGACCGATGGTCCCCAAGGGCTTATGGGTCCGATGGACCCAGAAGGGTTGGGGTCCGATGGACCCCGGGGGAGCCGATGGTCCCCAAGAGTAGTTCTTGGTTGTGTTTTTGTGTTCGGGCAAAGGGTGGGGTTTTTGGGGCTTAGTGTTGGGCAACTTCACCTAAACCCCTAAACCCTAAACTACCTTCCCCAAACCTTAAACACTAACCCCTAAACTTAAACCTTAAAACCCTAAACCCTTTAGGCTTAAAGCCCTAGACCGAAAACCATGAACCCTAAACTACCTTCCCTAAACCTTAAATTTTAAACACTAACCCCTAAACTTAAACCTTAAAACCCTAAACCCTTTAGGCCTAAAGCCCTAGACCCGAAAACCATGAACCCTAAACTACCTTCCCTAAACCTTAAACACTAACCCCTAAACTTAAAGCTTAAAACCCTAAACCCTTTAGGCCTAAAGCCCTAGACCCGAAAACCATAAACCCTAAACTACCTTCCCTAAACCTTAAACACTAACCCCTAAACTTACACCTTAAAACCCAAAACCCTTTAGGCCTCAAGCCCTAGACCCGAAAACCCTAAACCCTAGGAGCACAACTTCGAGATCGAGTGCCGCTGGGCCTGCCCGCAGGGTTTGGGGGCTTTGTAATTTTCGGGGATAGAGGTCCGATGGACCTCAGGGGGGGACCGATGGTCCCCGGGGGAGCCGATGGCTCCCAGGGTAGCTGTTGATTGTGTTTCGTGTTCGGGCAAAGGGTGGGTTTTTGGGGGCTTGTTGGGAAACTTCCCGTAAACCCCTAAACCCTAAACTACTTTCCCTAAACCTTAAACACTAACCCCTAAACTTAAACCTTAAAACCCTAAACCCTTTAGGCCTAAAGCCCTAGACCCGAAAACCATAAACCCTAAACTACCTTCCCTAAACCTTAAACACTAACCGTCACTAACCCCTAAACTTAAACCTTAAAACCCTAAACCCTTTAGGCCTGAAGCCCTAGACCCGAAAACCCTAAACCCTAAACCCTAGACCCTATGTAAACCCTAAAGCTTAAAGCCTAGCGCCCTGGCCCTGTTGAACAGTCCTGTAGCTCCTAGTCTTCCAAGCAAAGATCAGCAAGGATGAAAGGTAACTTAACTTGTTACTCTGCTGGCTTGAGGGCTGTTGGCTACAACTTTTACTTAAATCAAAATAATCAGTCATGAAATCCAACTCAACCCATACCCCTTGAGCTTGACTGCCGACCAGAGCAGTGCCACTTGTGCCGCCAGGTACTGCTCATCGCTGCTGAAGCTTCAAGCTGTGGTGGTTCCTACTGGTCTGGGGCCTAAAGCAGATCCGTTCTTGAACAAGTCCGGTTGAGCTTGGTGGTGGCCACGTGCAAGCAGGGGTTGTGCGGATGCTGCATGATGGGCTCGAATCGTGGCAGACATGGATGTGCATACGACGGACACATAGTCATGATCAAGGGCACTTAGACATAGTCCATGAGGGCACTTAGGGTCATAGCCCAGAGGGCCCATATCCGGGCAGCTGACATGCTCCAGGGCACTTATTAATTAGAGTCAGGACATAGTCCACGAGGGAAGCCCAGAGGGCCCATATCCGGGCAGTGGCATAGCATCTAGCATACAGCAAGCTGTGGCAGGGTCTCTTTGATTTTGCTTTGCCTCTCCGGGATGGTGGGAAAAAATCGTCCATCGAAGCTGGCCAGCCAACAGAAGTTTGCAGCCCGCAAGACAGAGGACGGGTCCCACGAGAATAGTTTGGAAGGTCTAGTTGTGTTGGAGTCGTGTCAGTTCTCCATTTTGACAACCTGGAAGGAGCAGCTGCGACAGATCCAAGCTGGGCTGGCGCAGCTGGCGAAGCAGCCTCCAGCTTCGTGTTTGAATGGGTTTTCGGCCTTTCATAAGCTGTCGTCTTACTTGTTGCTCTAAGGCTCAGCCGGCTGCAGCACCAGCACCGGCTGCAGAACCAGTGGCGCCGCCACCAGCAGTTTCTTGGCCGAGTGTATGATTGGATGCAGCATGACAAGAAAGAGGCATGGCTTTTGCTCAAGCCTCAAGCTTCTGTCAGGCTGCGGCTCCGGAGGCAAGCTCATCGTCATGGGAGGTGACCTCTCTGCATCTTTATTTGTCTGTGTAGGTTAGAAGGCAGCACTGGTCTGAATTGCGACTTGCCCACAAACCAAGGGCCGTGGCCTGCCGAAGGCTGGTGTTGGCGACGTTGCTGGAAAAGCTGCTGGCAAGGGCTTGAGAGCAGAGCTTTGTTTGCACTTTGCACTTTGCGAATGCACTTCTTAATTGTTTCCCAGGAGTCTTACATCGAAGCCACGTTCACATTGATCCTACATAATTTAGCAGCTGTTATTCAACTAAGGAGTTGCGCCAGCTACATGTCGATTTGCTCTCCTGCAGTAGCACTTCGAGGCTTCGGCCAATCCTGGGAGACTTGTCGAGGCTGGATGGGCTCGACCTCAACCGGGTCATGACTGCCGCTGGAGTGTCGCAGAAATTCTACATGTTTCTCACGCAAGGCGATAGTGTCAGGACCACTCTTCTCGGAGTGCTCGTTCGAGTCACTAGTGCGATGCCAGACTTGGTCCCTGTCCTGATGGCCATCTATGAACAAGAATCTGTAGAGCGGCGAGCTTTGGCCCTTCAGATTCTCGACATCTGGATGCCAGGGCTGGTCGACAGGCGACCCGAGGTGGCCGCTGCTTGGCAGAATGAGCCATCGTCTTCGTCTTCAGCTTTAGTCTTAAGAGTCCAGTAGGTAAACTTTCAACTTTTTTGGTATATTAAACCCCTACTAAAAAAATTAAACCTTGTTGGGCCAGGGTATTGGGCTTAAGGGTACTTAAGTCCCATGTTTCATTACTTTGCTGTCTGAGATTGATCCGCTGACAGCTGTGCCGAAGCTCTTCATGGATGAGCATCACAAGGCTGGGTGATCAAATTAATGGAAGCCTTAACTTAAGCACATCCCGGTAATTGTAATATTGCACATTGGGACTGCAGGGCTGACTAGCCTCTGTCCCTCAAGGCCAAAATGGCGGCGGCTGCGGCTGTGGGGCCGAAGGCGGAGCCAGCGAAGGCTGCTGCAGTGGGGCCGAAGGCCATGGGCATGGGGCGGCCGAAGACGCCGCCGAAGGCTGCAGTGGGGCCGAAGGCCATGGAGCCGAAGGCTGCGGCGGTGGGGCCGAAGGCCATGGAGCCAGCGAAGGCTGCTGCTGCGGTGGGGCCGAAGGCCATGGAGCCGGCGAAGGCGGCGGCTGCAGTGGGGCCGAAGGCCATGGAGC